TCAAGTGATCCTCCTGACTCAGCCTCCCAACTAGTTGGGACTTACAGGCCCCCGCCACAATGTCTGGCTATTCATTTTAGAGACAGGGTCTTGCTCTTTGAGTGATCTCAAACTCCTGAACTCAAGCAATCCACTCACCTTAGCCTTCCACAGTGCTAGGACTGCAGGTGTGAGCTACCTCACCTGGCCTAGATAAATGTGTTTTTAACTTAAAAAAAAAAAAAAAGACTATATTTTAAGTATTTCCACCCCCCCAGCAACTTCCTATCCATTTGTCCTTGGTAGTATAGCATCATGTTGGAATCTCAACTTTTAAGATTTTTGATTTTAAGGTTCAAATTTACCATAAACTGCACTGGCTAATTCCTTAGGACAGTATAAAGAGTTTGAAGAGCTGAACTGATTCAGGACACTGAATCCACAGGCTCACCTGCTAGCTTTGAATCCTTTCAACTTCTGTACAAAGAATGATTCAAGAACTTCCGCACACTGGTAAAAAGGGGAGTCACTTGGATTGTAGTAACGACAGTTATCAAATATTTTGGTCATATCTGCCACAAATTCTGTCAGCTTTTCATAGTATCGTCTTTGTACTCTTTCTTCCATGGTGGCAAGGTCTTAAAAACAAAATATAAAACATTTATAAAACATTAAAGTTTTCCCAACGTCAATGTTTCCCAAAGTTGTGACTTACAAGGATATAGGCCTACTGGCCTCACAGTCCCAAACCAGGCTGATTCTCTACTGGAGACTATTTTATAATTCGTAAAGACCATAGGAGAGCTTTCCACTTTTGTTTTTAAGTGAGGTTCTGAATACAAATCCTGGTTGCTGTTAAGGTTCCTTTACTTTCAGTTAACTGCACTGAATAGCTAGCTCTTCACTCACCAACATGATGCATATCTAAGTATAATAAATTTTCACAGGCAAACAATTAAGTATAGTATGTGTCAAAGAAAAGGTAGAAATCCAGATTCAACAACAAAATCTCTGTACTAGTCATTTGATGGTTCTTGTATTAGACTAATAGCATCATTTTGTTATCCTTATTCATTTTTCTTTTTCTTTTTTTTGAGACAGCCTCAAGCTGTCGCCCTGGGTAGAGTGGTGCTGTGGTGTCACAGCTCACAGCAACCTCCAACTCCTGGGCTTAAGTGATTCTCTTGCCTCAGCCTCCCAAGTGGCTGGGACTACAGGTGCCCACCACATTGCCAGGCTATTTTTTTTTTTTTTTGTTGAGACAGAGTCTCATTTTATTGCCCTCAGTAGAGTGCCGTAGCATCACACAGCTCATAGCAACCTCCAACTCCTGGGCTTGGGCAATTCTCTTGCCTCAGCCTCCTGAATAGCTGGAACTACAGGCACCTGCCACAATGCCCAGCCATTTTTTTGTTGCAGTCTGGCGGGGGCCGGGTTTGAACCTGCCACCCTCAGTATATGGGGCTGGCGCCCTACCCATGGAGCCACAGGCTCTGCCAACCAGGCTATTTTTTGACTGTAGTTGTCATTGTTGTTTAGCTGGCCTGGGCTGGATTCGAACCTGCCAGCTCTAGTATATGTGGCTGGCGCCTTAGCCGCTTGAGCTATGGGCACTGAGCCTATCCTATACATTTTTATTATTACCTTATACTTGTGATAAATGATACTGACTTAACCATTCATGACAGAAATGATATAAAGTGCCTACTTAAAATAAATGTAAGGGAAAAATATTACCTGATAAATAACATTAGTATGTAATAGTACAGGTTGTATGCAAAAATGAGAAAAAATAATGAGGATGGTAGACAGGCGTGATATTGTGAAATACACATTTGTCCCCTTTTCCTAACATTTAGCTCCTAAAACCCAGGATCTTTAAAGTGATGAGTGTGTTTTGTATGTTAAAGAGATGACTGGTGGCTGGCCACCAGTAAGACTGTGGCAGGATTAGAGGGTTAGGACTTTAGTCCTCCTACCTAAGGGGAGTGGGAGTAAAGGTCAAGCTGATCACCAATGGCCAAAGATGTTCAACCTTTTATCTTCTCTGCTGCACACCAGAAGAGTTATCTTGAGCCATACATTAAATATAGAAACAATAACAAAAGCTGATGGGGGGTATCTGTTCATAATTTTTGTGGTATCTGCCACCACAGATAAGCAAAAAAGTCCTCACATAATCAGCAGGGAGTCCATGGACTGTGGGTTGGACAATCCTACCTACATAATGCGGTTTCCATAAAATCCCCAAGGGAAGGGAGGTGGCAGGGAGATTGCTGTGCTCTCAGCTAACAGGCACAAGGAGAGGGTGCATGGCACACCTCCTAGGTGAGAGGTACAACTCCAACAGGGACTTTACCTAGCAAACACAAACATGTAAAATAATTGTTTGTACCCTCATAATAATCTGAAAATTTCAGAGAGCTTCCCAATAGCTGAATACCTAAAGGTTCACGGAGTACAGAGCCTCACCCCAGAGAGAACAGAGAAGCTCGTTGCCCCTTCTTCCCCACCATGTTTTATGCATCTTTTCTAACTGGTGTTCAATGGTAAGTATGTTTCCCCAAGTTCCGTGAGCTGCTCCACCAAATTAATCAGACATGGGACCCTGACTTACAGCTGGTGAGTCAGACTTACAGGTAAAACAACCTGGGACTTATGGTTGGCATCTGAAAGTAGGGGCAGTCCAGCGGACTGAACCCTCAAGTGGCATCTGATGTCACCTTCAGGTAGACAGTGTCAGAATTGAATTGAATTAGAAAACACTCAGCTGCTGTCCCCTGCAGACTGGATCTTAGTGGGAAGAAATCTCCATACACTTCTTGGTGACCAAAGTTAACAGAAATCTTCTGTGTTCATTGTTGTAGTGTGAAAGCAGAGGAAAAATAGTTTGTTGTATCCTTTCAGAGGAGGTAAATGCTTTGGAATATGATTGTACTAAATGTCCCAGAAACTTGGCGCCCATAGCACAATGGTTATGGTGCTAGTCACATACACCAAGGGTGGTGGGTTAGAACCTGGCTCGGGCCAGCTAAACAATAGTGACAACTGCAACAACAACAACAAAATAGCCGGGCATTATGGCAGGCACCTGTAGACCCAGCTACTTGGGAGGCTGAGGCAAGAGAATTGCTTAAGCCCTAGAGCTGAAGGTTGCTATGGGCTGTGACACCATAGGAGTCTACCCAAGGGCAACAAGGTGAGACTCTGTCTTAAAAAAAAAAAAAATTTCCTGGCACAAACTGTAACCATGAAAGTACTAGGAAATAGAACACTTAAATGTAATCACTAAATTATATATTTAGGGGGTGGTGCCTGTGGCTCAAGGAGTAGGGGCACTGGCCCCATATACCAGAGGTGGTGGGTTCAAACCCAGCCCTGGCCAAAAACAAAAAACAAACAAACAAAAAAATTATACATTTAAATATGATTAAAATGGTAAGTCTTTTTTTTTTTTTTTTTTTTT